CTCAGGCAAGCACAGTAGTTCTTGGTGCACTCATCGCGCTTGAAACTCTTGCGGCAGGTGGGGCAGCTGTAGCTCTGGCTCGCGCCAACGATCCGTTCAAACTCAGATGCGGACATTGCAATGCAAGGCAATGCAAGGCTCTGGAGTTCGGGTGGAGGCCAAAGGGGCAGGGCTAATCGAAGCTAAACAGCTAACGGTTCAAGCTCGTGCACCAAGCTCACCCCATACTCTCACGCTCTATACCCCTGAAAATCTCAGGCTCCATGATGAATGCGGTGAAGCAGCACACGCCTTGCAGAAGGTATGCCCACACTTGGAGACAAGCGGAGTGTGATCGCTGTCATTAAAGTCTTCCCAGCAAAGCTCGCAAGAAACGTCGATCCTCGACTTAGCGCTGAGCACAGGGCCGCCGAAGTCTTAGGGTTAATCATGCAGGTCCAGCAATAAGCAGGGTGAGCATCTTAATAAGCACTTGCAGCCCCAATTCAGGCGCCTGGAGCCACACGTAGGATCACACCCAGAGCCACTTACAGCCAAGGGCCTGTAAAACCCTCGCAAACCCTTTTCACGAGTCCCCAGAAGTATCTTGTTTGTAACCACCATGAACCTGTTCGCAGACTCGCAGCCCTAAACACGTCAGACTTAACCTCTATACAGGTGCTTTACTTGTTGGGGGGTTTCGGGTGTACGGCGGCGTTCGTGGTGCAGGTCTTCGGGATCGAGGGTTCAGCGGCTCTGGGCAAAAGGTTTTAGGGTTCCGGATCTGACGTAGTCTACCACAAATGCTTCTTGCTGCAGGTTCCAATAAGATTGTGGTGTGGGGTTGACGAAGAAAATGCCTGATTCAGGCTCTGGGGTTTCGGATTTAGGGTGTGGGGTTCAGGATGTCCAGTGCAAGCTACTGGGGTCATGGAGAAACTTCCTTGAGTTCTAAACCCTACAGCTTACGCCATACACCTTTGCTCTAAACCCTCGCGACCCATCCCTTAGACTATGGTGACACTACACCGTAGTGCTGGACCTGAGACACTAGGCCAGACAATAAGTCCTCAACCCTGGACCCTGCACACCTTGACGATCCCTGATGCCCTAGACCACGACAGCCGAAGCCCTAGACAATGAAATGTCTGGCGCTGCCCATGTCTGGCGAGACCGCAGAGGTGACCCTGAAGATCAGATTACAATCCCAAAATCAGCTCATCTCATCATCATCATCATCATCAACAACAACACCCATCAACACCATCATTATCGTCGGGGATCCCTGATTCTAAAGTAAACCTGAAGGCTAATTTCTAAAGGACCCCGAACCTCTGTGCCAAGGCTCTGCGGCGCTGTCTGGGGCCTCGGAGGGTCCCGGGCTTCGGGTTTGGGGTTAAGGGCATGTAGGGGTTAGGTTTGGGATTTTATGGTGGTTCAGGGTCAAAGGTGTACGCGAAAATACGCGAAATATACCTTTCTACACCATTTGGGGCACTTTGAACTTACAACCCAGCTATGACAACTACACATGTAACCCCCAACTGTCTGACTGAAACTGGCAGCCACCTGAAGAATGAGATTTGAGTAGTGGGAATCAGGGTGGATCGTCGTAACAGGGATCGTCAAAGCACGTCTGCTGCTTTATCATAAAATGAGGTTTCATGTCGGGGTGAGGGTTTGCATGAGAAGTCAGCAGATCTTCGGCAGCCACTTCCGTTGTAAAGCCGATCCACACAGCACCGGGTCCTACCCAAAAAAGCCCAATAGCCCTAAAATCAGGAATATAGCTTAAATCATAATATGAAGCCCCTTGATAAGTTAAGCCATATCCCTTATTTAAGTGGTGTTGGGCTCTCGGTACCCCAACCCCTACAGCAAGGACCAAACCCTGGGGCCCAGATGTTTCGGCCTCGGGATTCAAGGTGGCTTTGGCTTTTTTTGGGCTGGTGAGCTTTAGATATGCCTTTGTGTGGGCCTAGCATTGAGATTCCAGGGAAAACCCTTACTTTAATCGTATTCTTTGTCCTTAAGATCCGACGTCTCAAGGTAAAGGTGCCTCGGGACTGATTGTGTGGGTCGTTGGGATCCTGGGCTTTGGGATCTGAGGTCTCGACACAACGACTTAGCCCAAATCCTGAACACTAGTACTGCAGTGCACTGCAAGGTCTTTGGGTGACTGAGATGTTGATAATGAAACGGCTTGAAGCTTTAAGAGTTTAAGAGTTTAGGGCTTCAGGGAAAGGATCTCGTGGCAGCGGAGCTGCGCGTTCTTGACCTTCAGCTCCTCGAGCTCTCGCACGTTGCCCACCTGCCTGAAGCTTCCAGCAGGCGCCACTTGCTTCTGTTCAACCCAGAAGCATCTCTGAATCGGTATCCCGCGTGCGAAACAACGCGAGCCTAGTTAAGCCAACCACCTCAAGTCAAAATCTGGAAACCTAGAGGCCCGAAGCCCTTTGTTGCGAGTGCGCCCACACGCACAGACAGAGTGCACAAGAGTGCATATCTACGCTTAGAGCTAGACGCACAGCTGCTTGCATAGTGGATACCAGATTAGCAGACAAACAGGGACAGAGGCGGAATGCACACAGACGCAAAGTCAGTTGGAAACAAAGTATGACCGCGAGTACTTTTAGCCCAAGACTCTCCCGGTGTGGCCTTCGTGGAGCCGGCTGCACCGGCAGCTGGGTGTGGGATCCAACCGATGGATACATCGAAATCTGTTTGCACAGCTGTTCCTTCTGCCGATAACATAGACCTGCCGCCACCTGCTGTCTGGCCCTGCTGTGTTGCCGGGAAGGTCTCTGGACACGGGCAAACCTACTTCATCACACCAAGCCATAACCCCATGAACGGGCTGCGTACAAGTTGTTGAAGTGTGTCGAACTCATAGAACTCTGACAAGTCCGCTCCACTGCAGTGCCTGGTCGGGATATATATATATATACACATATATATATATATACCGAATGCTCCACGTCTGCTACTCGGGGGCTGTACAACCGGGCGCAAACTGACAACTGGAAGCATACCGCACCGTCCTTTCCGTCCCTAGCTACAGTCAACATGCAGCCTTAACCATGCACACAAGAGCTTCGGCTCCTTTCTTCCGTGGGCCGACCTTGATTCGCCTCCGAGTCAGAGACGTGCGTGCAAAGATTCGGAAGTACCTTCCCGTCACCGCAATCTTCATTGCCTGGATCAGCTTTAGAAATGTTGACTCGACATAGGGCCGGGACTTGGTTGCTCCAAAGCTGAAATCGTGCAAAGGGCTCCGTGTTTGGGAGGTTTTGCTCTAAGACAATATGTGGAGAATCGACTATGACTGCAGCGCAATATCGTACCACTCTAGCGGTCGGGGACGTTCGCATTAAGCCTGGCGGATGCACCCGCGGCAGACGGAGGCTGAATTACGTGCATGCAAAAATCACGTTCCCAGCTCCGGCTAACGGAAGACACCTAACGCCGGGTGCAGACATCTGGGCATTAGAATTCGGGCTTGACCTTGCGATCTTGGCCGAATCTTTGGCATTGGCCATGTTTGGAATATGGCCCCCTGTGAGGGTGTCTGGTTCTGTGCATGGGTGCTTGTAGCTGGCTGTGGTAGGTGAGGAGAGCGGGTCTTCAAAGGTAAGCACACCCCAAGAAGCTGTGTACTTCAGGGCTTCGGGAGTTGGAGCTGTGCTGCTGGAGTTGCTTTCGGCTGAGGCCGGAGCAGGGATAGCACAATCTCGCGGACAAAGTTTACATCTGGGGTCTGGTGCCCATGGACGAATCCGGAAAGCTTCTGCTTGCTTGCAGAGCTGTAACAAACAATCCTCCAGGAGGTTCCGTGAGATCTGTCAACGTAGGGGGCATTACCACTGGCCAGGCATTGGTCAAAGACTTGCTCCTTCATGCCCTCAATCGAAACTTGCACAAAATACGTTCAACTGCAGCTTACCATTTGTGGGAAGCTGTTGAAGGAAGCCCAAATCATGACTGCAGCTGACATGTTCTATTATAGTTACTACCAGAGCAACTGTTGCTACCGCTTCGGGGTAGGCGGTCCGTATTGTCATAGCCAGGATAGCTGTCTTCAGAAAGGATAACAGACCGGCACTCCTGCAATAAAGAATCCACTTGTAACTGACATGCCCGGAATAGCCGCTTGCCGGACACCACGACTCGCAAGCCCCTGAATGATCCTACCACTTTTAGCCACATCTCCAAGCAAAGCCTGTGTGCCCTCATACCCACAGCTCAACAGACCCACAACAGTCCCAGTTCGTACGAGTAACATTGTTTGCGGTATGCATATACATATACCATATATCTATATACTGAGACATACATCTACATCTACAGTACATAAATGCAGCAATGGCCGCTAGGATCACAAGAACAACAAAACGAAATGATTTGATGGCACTAGTGGTGTTTTCAGGAACACGGCCATGCACGGTCGCTTACCACGAACGATGAGAACAAGCGCGGCACCCATGAACAAGACCGTCGTCATCATCGTAAGAAGAAGATAGCAGCAACATAGTTTCTGACAATAGGAAATGCATTTTTAACATGCGCACATAAGAATACGAATGCGCACATACGAATACGATATACTCGTTAATATACATAGAGGGATAAAATGGATCATGAGAACAGTGATCATAATCTTTGTGAGGACGAGGAGGAGGAGAAGAGGAGAAGAACAACAACGATGTCAAGAACATGTAGTGCAATCGTCTGCGGATTTCATGAGGCGTTTTTGAGATCTTTGACCAATGCACTGGGCGCTCGGGGCCAACGGTTCGGCGGCTCCACGATCGAAGGCCAAGGCTGAGGGGGTTTGAGGCTTAGGGTGTCTCAGGGTTTAGGGCTTTTGGGCTTTTGGGCTTTGGGCTCTAAAGTAAAGGATTGGCGCAGGGTTTGAAATTCTGGGCCTAGCACTCTGAAGGCTTTGATTAGGGCTTCGTGTGGGAGTTGACCTCAAGGGGCGTCTGGCTTTGAAGCTAAAGTCGAGGTTTGGAGGTGCCGGCTCACGGACCCAAGCCGAGCGCCCGCTGAAACTTTTGCTTCAAGCCGCTGGACTCCACCTGACAGGATGCTTTAGAACCCTTAGCCTTCTCCCTCGCTGGCAAGCGAAGCCCAGAGCCTGCGTATTCCTTCGAACACGTTCTCCCTGGAGGGATGCTTCGGCAGTGCCACCACAGCTTTGACGCCTGAAGGGAATGTAGGGGTTCAGACCGTTGCAGCTCGGGAAATTGAGTTCTGAGATTTCAACTGAGTTGCCGTCGTCGAGGGGTCTCGGATTCAGACTTCAAGCTTCTATAGTCCACGGGGTCGGACTATCTATCTAGCTCAAGGCTATGGACACTCCACCTTTCGCAGCGGGATAGGGGTGTGGATTCAGGTCCGTGCAGGCTCATAAAGGGAATGTTCTGACAACGCATGGACGGCCTCAAGTGTTTTACGCATAGCATGCAATGCAGGATGTAGGACAGACAGCGCGCAACACCCTAGAGTGTGATCGAAAGGCAACAATCATGGTCCGTGCAGTTTCCGCGCGATGCAGTGGACGCTGAGCGCCAAGAGCACATGTGACGTCTCACTCCATCACCGTCCATCCCTTGACCACTTTTCCACGAGCTCTTGAGGACAGCGATTCGAGTCGATGACTGCTAGGCTGACAAGCATGTGGATTCCGACATTCGCTCGCCTTTCGCGCGGCTTGCTAGGCGTGCTCTTCGTGTTCGGCTGGCCGAGAGGATAGATGTCTTCCAGCAGGAACTCGCCTGGGTGCAGCGGTGCAGATGCCGAACGAAGCGAATGTGAGCAACCTATCACCGGATGCCTCACCTCACAACTGATGCGGTGCCAATCTGAATCCATAAGTTTCCGACGCTGTTCCTTCCAGCATCTCTTGTCGTTCGCGGCGAAACTCTGCCGCCGCTGCTGCCTGAGGTCCGCCTGGCACCAGCTGTAGCCCTAGTCTGGAAGCTGTCTGAAGTTGACCTCTCCCCCACCAGACTAAGACAACGAGCCGCTTCAGCCCCAGATGCGCAAGCTTGAAGCTTACGCGATATAGCTCAGGCTTACATGCCCTGATAATCAGTATTTCATAACATCCACAAATGCACCCGGAAGCTGTCGCTGAAACTCCAGCAGCATCCGCGGCTGGCCTGATAGGTGGAAGAGCCACGGGAGAGCCTTCGAACAAGGAGGCTGATAACTCAGCTCGTCTCCCTCATGTAGATGGACTGATGGAAATACAAGGGACTCCTGATCCGGTTTTTGGGTGTCTTACTGCCACTTCGGCATGGCGAGCTGGCCTTAGGCATCGACCTTGGCTTGCTCAGAAGGCATCCGGGGCACTTGAAAGGCTGAGAGTTGTGGGAAACTGGCCTTGTCCGGGTCGAAAGTGCTTCAGGCATTTCAATACACAGTCTGGGCTCCAGTTAGCCCGGGGCTGTTGCTGACCGTAACATCCAGGGAAGTCAACCGTTAACTTGGACCTCAAACCAGGCGGGAATCACAAGCAAATCCCTAAAACTGCTGCTGCTGTACTCGCAAAAAAAAAGTTCATCCATGGCCAGCCCGACCCCGACCCCAAACATCCCTGAGCCCCAAAGCACCTCCTTGCGTCGCTCCCCCGAGGGGTGGTCGGGGCCAAGCCGATGAGAGGATACTCGCTGTCGGGAGGCATGCTGCTCTCCCACTCGGCCTGTCAAAGGTGACGGGGTTTCCACTATGCTTTACGGGTGAGATTTGGCAATTACGATTCGCTGCAGAAATTTACCCTGGGACATGTCACATCGCATCGAGATTGCAGCACAAGGCACGTCAATCCTCAAGTCCAGCCTGAGATGCAAGCTCGCAGTGCGCCAAAGACTGAGAGTGTGCACATGAATCAAGGTTTCGTGGTCTCTCCAGTCCAAGAGACGATCTGTTCTTGTACATGAGCATTTTCACCAGGGTGGAGACTTCTTGTTGCCTTCCGAGGCATATGGAGGCGAACAGTTAACGGAACAGTGGGGACTTGCGGTATGAAGCTACATGCAAGTCGCATAAATGCCCCTCTTTGAACGGTGATGCAGTGAGATCAGATGCTGTCCACTAACAGACGCAGCAACCTGCCATCTCGGAACCTAGGTTGGCAAAAAAAGACCCGTGGCAGAGTGACAGCATGACGATAAATGGCAGGCACTCGCCTGCAACTCCAGTATTGGCATGCTCGGGAAGCCCACATGCATGCCGCATGCCCCTTCCGACTCCAAGAGACTTCTAGAGTGTATGTGCGGGCACATCGCCTCTTGGCAGCATCCTCTTCCAGCGCCTTGATTCTTGTCTCCATCTGCGCGCGCTCTCTGTCTTGAAGCACCACCGACATGCTGCTTCCTCAGTGCACCATCTGCCCACGAGCTGGCGGTGGCTATCGAAAACAGGGCAATGTAGCAACAAAACTGACATACTGTAGCGTCTTGGAAAGTCGCACGTGCCCAGTCCCAAAAATGTCGTCTGATGCCGATAGAAACTTCCTAAAGGTCGGCATGGTCTGCTCTCTCATGCGAGTTTGAAGGCAAGACTCCAACATCATAGTCGTCAGTCACGAGGGCCGTGGAGCACGAGTCGTCCTCCCGGAGAAGATGTCGGAAGAAATCACTGCTGCGGCTAGGGCTGCATCCTAGTCGGTGGGAAAGGCTTTCAATCACCACAAGACTTAAGACCAAAGCAAGGCCAGACTCTTCCATTCTTAATTGTGCAGATTCCAGGCATATCTGGAGGATGTCCTCCGGCAGCGCCTTCGAGTTCCGCCTGCGCAGAGAGTTCAAAAAAACCCTACACCCCCACTGATCAAGCCTTCCAGCTTGGCTTCAGGAACTTCAGGGTGTCGGGTCGATTCCTGGTTGCGATTATCATTACGATCCCTGGTTGGCCTTCATTCCGTTTGGGCCCGACACTACACTAGGCAGCCTTAGGGCCAAATGCGAGCAGTTGAAACATAGCCGTCCTGTTGCAAGGCGCTTACGAGAAGGATCCTGTTACGTTGGGGCGAAAGTTCGGATGAAGTACGCATTCTCTGAGATTCTAAGATTCTTTCTGCATCGAGGCCTGTTTGGAGAACTTCGGCAGGGTGACGCCACTTCCATGATGGGCGCGGGCGCCTGCCGCACAGTCACACACGGGACCAGCTGGGGTTCGGGGGCCGCTATCGACGAGCCCTAAGCATCAGCAGAAGGCAGATGCAACGCGCCGCTTGGAGAAAGTGACAGCGCAGCAACAACTCGCAAGCGTGAAGCTTTTATATCATGTTGCACGGAGTTAAACTTCAATGCATCTGCCTAGTACACCCTAGAGCTGTCTCTGTTGATGCGCACAGCCAATCTAAACGTCTAGATTCTTGTTCCTGCGCCCTGAGCTATGCGAGTTGCAGCATCAGAATCGCAGGCTTGAGCCCGGACCTCTGCTCTCAGCTGCTTTTCTTTCTCCATCTGGCAGGATATTCCCAGAGAAAAGCCGCTTCGGTTACGTGCTTCTACAACACACTACCTGAGCTGAAACTCTCACATCTAGGTCCAATGATCCAGGGCAAACTTGCAAGTGGATGCCCCGGACTCACCGCGGTGCAAACTCATGAATAGGCGCCGACTAGGTAAAGCTAGACTTACATTCCACCATGTCCTGCGTCCCAACTCTTCATAACTCTTCGAATGCTCAATTTGAATCTGCAAACCGAGGCCGAAAATTCAAACAAGAGCGTGCCCCAATAGCAGTAGCAGGACGTTCTCCGATCTGTCCTTGAAGAACTCCTGATCTGCTTTCAGCCTTTCCAGCTCCTGGATGGCGCTGGTTTCACGGAAGCAACAGCGCCAGAACTGCTTGGAATCTGCACACACTTCGCATTTTAAGAGTTTCAACTCGGGGATCAGCAGTTGCCCCGAGAAAAATCGACTGGAAACTTGTGCGCAGGCAACTTCACCAACACTCTTGCTGCGAAATCTGCGACAGCCAAGCATGATTATGCTCTCTCTCAGCGCACGAAGACTGTCTCCTGAAAAAGTTCGGGCCCGATCGTAAAGCAATCAAGCCGAAGGTCTCGAATCCCAGACCCATGCACTAATCAACGCAAATGGACCTGAAAACAAAGCTACATCGTATATGGTTCACCACGTTGTACGCTGTTTACTACCCTTGCAATATTACGCATCCCGCCAGCCTCGCGCATTCTCTCCATTTCCTTGCGCTGCTCCTCCTCCGGATTTCGCACGGAGGTGTTTTGGCTGCTATGTCTTCAATACAACCTTTTTCGAAACACACATATGTACATACCTACACCTATCCTCTATCTGGCTATGTCTGTCTGTATATACATACATATGTACATATATATATATATGTATGTCCAATGTAAAAAATAGAGGGAGAGAGAGCGAGAGAGAGAGAGAGAGAGAGAGAGAGAGAGAGAACGAGAGAGAGAGGGAGAGAGAGCGAGAGAGAGAGAGAGAGAGAGAGAGAGAGAGAGAGACGGATTATGTCAGATAGTTTTTCTACGTTAAAACTCTCTTGCGGTGTATGCTACGCTCTGCTTGGCTATGCTAAAGCTATACTGTGCCATACTCTAATGCTATACTATGCTACCCTATCGCTATGGGGCAGTTGACTTCAATCCCCGCACCTGAGCTTGAAGCCTCATGTTCTCGATCTCGGCCTGCGCAGCCGCCTTTCGGTGCCGAGAGCTTAGGATGTGGGATTTATAACCAAGGTTTCGCTGTCAGGCAGGGCAGAGGCTTCAGAAGGGCAGTGTGGCGTTCAGCATCCACGTTAGGTATGCAAAGCCGATTGAATGGTCCATCTGAAAAGCAGATGGCTCGGTACCCTAGTTTTCTGAAAACGTTCTGTAGAAAGCTCTGTAGAACGCTGCTCTGTAGAACGCTCTCTACGCGAGGTGTGTGCTTGGAATCTCTGTCATGGTGTATCTGTTGCGGGCCTTCTCAGCAGCCAGGCGCTCTTCTTGCTCTCGCTTCTCCTCTTCCAGCTTCCGACGATCCTCCTCCACCTTCCTCTGGAACCTTACGAGGCTTTGCAGGGCAACCCGAGGAGTGATGCAAATCAGACCTATGAGCGGAACATGCTTAGACCGAAACACACCCCATCACAATATGGGCGAGGCCGATCAGAATGGGGATGCGTAGCAGGCGTAGCAGGACGGTTACTGCGGACAGGACCCATCGGCATGCAACTCACAACGTTCAATTGCTTATGTACGGATTGTTGACTTCAATCTGTTGAGCTGTTGCGAGTTCTGTCATCCGCCGACTTGGAGTAACGCGCTTGAAGGGCCAAGCAACTCCTCCTCCTCTTTGCGCCGCTCTTCTTCCGCTTTGCGCTTCTCTTCTGCGATTCTCTGCCTCTCCTGAACAAGGGGCAGTAAACGCGCAACAGTTGAAAGCCGGTCTATGCAAACCGTCGCGACCCCCTTGCGTTCTGCTGCATTGTTGGAGCCGAAGAAAGTCAGCCTAGCAGCCTAGATGATTTCGCGAAATCACACCGGACTCTCGTGCGATACATTTAGTCTGACATTTGTACGCTACGAACCAAAAAGATTGTTCAGTATAATGTCACATCTCGTATGTCAAATGCCGAATGGGCTGAGCCGCAACATCTGCAGCTACTGGTGCAACATGAGGCGATAATCAGTACGGGGCAATAAAGTATAGTCATGCAATCATGGAATGCATAACAAATTTCACTGCAAGCCCTTATAGGATGTACATTATGGACTTATTGTGGATGCGTTGTTTGCTGAAACACTGTAGCTGTACATGTGCCTGTTCGAATGTCAACATAAATGCGTGTCCCTGTGGGTTCACTTCTCTGTGTGTGCGCGTAAGTGTGTACGTACGTGCGTACTCATGCAGGCGGGCATTCACGCACGCAGGCACGAATGCATTCATGTCGTGTATGCAATGTACTATAACTATATCGTGTACTGCAATGTACTGTGCTGAAACGTGATGCAACATAAGTTTACGGATATGAAACGCAATAGAAGGCCATGTACGGCAGCTTAGTATGATGTAATGTGCCATGGAGAGGAATGTATCCATGGCTGCGTGTCGGCACGCACGATGACGTTAGGCTGTATCGCTTTCGGGCTGTCCATAGAGTATTTCATGGTGAGGAACACACGAAGAAAATTCCTTGACTCTCATCTGCCAGATCCGAACAAACAAGAACATAAAGAAAGGCTGGCGTAATACGAACAAACAGGCAAGTGTAGATAGCTGGCAATGTAGCGCCACTGTGCAGAAAACTTGTCACCTCGCCCTGCGCAGCATGTCTCACTCTGCCGTAATATCCTCGCAGCTACATCCGAAAAACATCATAACTATATATACTATATAATATACCATAATAATATACCAATGATATACTATAATATCAATCTCGGGGCCTCGTCCCGGGGCTCAGCTCGTTTTGGGGCAGATGGACTAACCTAGGCCCTCCCGGCCGAGCCTCGGCGGCCCTTCGCTCGTTCTCGCGCCTCTCATCCTGGGAAGCAGAGGCTCGAAGGGAAGCAGACGAAGTCATAGAGGGCTAAGGGGGGGTTTTGGAAAGTTTCCAGAGTTTAGTGGTTTTTCGGGTTTTCGGGGGTGGGAATTTGGGGTTGGTTTAAGGGTTCAGGGTTTCGGGGTTTGGGGGTTGGGGGGTTGGGGGGGATTTCGGATCGTGGGCTTATCACATGTCACTACATGTTAGACGGATGTCAATGTGTATGCATGGCAAAGATCATCAACTTCCGGACTACTTGGGGCTCTAGTTGGATCTGTCCTATCAAGCTACCACGCAAGTCGACGCAAGAGGTATGTGCCCTGAACGGCTGACTTGTGCAGTCTCTGCATGATGTAGAGGTTTGGCCCTGAGGGCGCTAAACATCACCCCCTATACAACCATGCAAACATAAAGCAGAAGGTGTTGGCATCCTCTTGGGGGCAGAACGGTCACCAATTGGAGCAATGAGCTCGCGTTAGCCACTTTGTGCGAGGCAGATCTGGAAGCAACGGCGGGAAAGCTTGACAAGATGCATCAAGATGCAGGAGCTTAGGGCTTGTCAGCGGTTTTGTGACTTCACAACCACGAGAGTCAACAGATGAACTCGGCCCATGTGTAACCCCCAAAACCCTCAAGCCCTAAACCTTCAAACTTCAAACCCTAAATACCCTCCATCCCATTTACCCGAAAGAAGCCCTCGCAAGGCCCTTTCAAACCCTTTTACTCCTCGATTCTTTGCTGGATCGACCTCCGGCTGCGGGCCAACCAGGGCAGCACCCTGGCTTCGGCCGCAGATGTCCGTTCAGCGCAGGGTAAGGGTTTAGAAGGCTCCACGAGGCTTCGATACGGACCCTTTATGGCTTTCAGATGTTAGGGTTTTGGAGGGTTCATTCTGGGCTGTCGGGCTTTGGGGTTCGCGGTGGCGGGGCTTTTAACTTTAGTGCTTAAGCTCTGGAGTTTGGCTCAGGGTCTCGCAGTCTCGAAAACGGCCGGATTCAACTGCCCGAAACAAGCTCCAGGTTCCTGAAAGACCACGCTGCCACTTGCGCACAAACTGCTCATGTGTGCAGGTCGGTTGGTGCGCAATGTATATGACGATATGTAAACGATGGCACAATATGTGCTAGGTAGTCCGAAACAAAGAGCAAAATACACATAGTATGTATGTAATTACATTAAATGATAACACATGTTCATATGCATATACTTACATACATTTATATATATATATATATACTTACTTACTTATTCATTTACTCATCTGTTTATTTATCATGTACAGCTTGATATGCTTTTTAATATACGCAATTCAACAGAGAAAGGCACGCTGCACAGCAACCGCGCCCTGACCCAGGAGGGCCTCTGCTGCAACAGCAGCCAGGTGCCAACCGCCGTGCTCAAGCGTTTCCAGGCACGTTGCCGTCGAACCTGCGTGAAAAGAGCCGATTGATCTGTTCCTTCGATGTGGGGACTGCTCGTCACTGCTCGTGACAGTGTAAACAGCCCCCAAGCCCATAGAATCAATCGAGTTGGGGATGGGGGGGCTCACTGTCCAGACATCGACCTTGCAAGTTGCAGGCGTGCCTTCGTGCTCAACTTGTCGACGAACCGCTTGGTCAGCACGGCCACGCGCACCAAGACCTCTCCAACCGCACTCAAAGCTAGGATCTGACCTTGCAACTTGCAACTCGTTGAAGCTTTCGGGGCAGTGGGGCTCGCTAAACTAAAGGCGAAAGGTGGCCACCGGAGTGTTCCGTCGCCTGGAAGCGGCGGCGCAGGGCCATCTTCTGCCTGACACCGCTGGGTAGAAGGATCAAGATTAAGATTGCAATCGCGTGAGCTATGTTGAGTTTCTTCAAAACAGGGGGTTCGGGTCTGACTTGCAGTTTGTTTCCACTTGAGATTTGATTCCGGGTCGACGATCACGATTTTGTCCTCAAGAAGAGAAAGGCGGCCTAGGGCGTGGGAGCTTTGTTGTGCAATTAGAACCTTGAAAGTAGTGGTTGAGCATATGATAAACTGCACTCAGTAAACGCGAGCTTTCTAACGCACCTGTCTGCCTAAAGCCCACGAAGCATGCTCCCTCACGCCTCCACCCGCCCATAGAAAGCATGATGAAGCTTGTATAAGCCTTGCACAGACCCACTTCAACTGCGCATAACCCCCCAAAAGGACCCTGCATAAACCCTGCATGAACCCTATAACCACCGCAAACCCACTGCAAACTCCAGAAGTCCCTGTACGTACAGACATATGTAATTACATAAGTTCGTACATACAGACATGGTAAAGCTTGCGTTCGTCGTGTATGCGTATACGATCATATATATATATATATTTATTT